AAAAAACAAAAAACTCGAATGTCTCGGCAAAGAAATAACGAAAATGTCAACGAAATATTGTCCTCAACCGACCTAAATTCAACCACTCGATCAACGAATCAACTCAAAATGAATAATGAATAAATCAATCAAAACAACATAAGTCAATCATCAAAAAGAATTTATTTGTTGTTTGTTCACCGTCCGTCAAATATACACAACAACAACAAATAACCAACAAAAAATACGACCGATAAAACCACTCAAAATGTTCTGCGAGATAAAAACTGACGAAACTGACGATATCACATATGTACACGTTTATATATGCTTGAGTTGACGTGTTTTGCCTTTAAAACACAATGCATTCGCGCATCGTGACATACCCATCCGAAATGAACTTGAACTGATGTGTAGAATAATTTTCGTTCATTGATAACAATTTCTATCGAAAATCAATGATCGTGTTGATTGCTTCAGATGAAACACTGCTTGAAATGATAATAGAATATGATCCATACAGATCGTACCTATCTGAAATGTCCACTTAATTCTATGAGAATGCTTGTACTTGTTATGCGTGTGTGTGTAAATGTATGATGATGATGATGATATTGCAATGCGATAAGTCTCATGATCGATTCAGCAGTAATAAATCATTCTTTAATATACGATTTGCAGCTTGTAACAATGCTTGATCACTAGCATGATCCACATCTTCTTCATTCGTCTCCATTCTGTCCGATTTGCTAGTATCCGTCGGCGCCGTTGATGCGTCCAATATACAGCTCGGATGGAAAGGCTGTAAGGTGGTGAATGAATTACTTTCATTCCACACGTACATTTCGATCGTTTGCTACGCTCAAATATTCCCATGAATAATCAAACAAAAGAGTAGATATAACAATCAACACGTACACGCAATTCAATGAAATTCGTGACGAAAATGAGAGCATTATTTGCCGTTAAATTAATTTTAATATTAATTGGACACTAACCCTGCCATCAGCGCCCAGCATGCACTCCTTCAGTTTCCATGCATCATCATCCTCATCCCAGTACTCTTCAAACTGTTCACCACAAACACCACATTCCTTAAACGTTCCATATTATAGCTTTAATTAACTTCACACCTATTCGTTTGGCCAACTTCGAAACAAACACTAAATTCTCTACAAAAGAGCGACCAAAAGAATCAACCTTCATCTGCACGGCATCACACGATACATTCGCAACAACCTTCCCAACGTCTGATGCATCATCCACTTGAGCTGAATCACCTACGAACATTCAATAACCGATATTGAAAAAGAACATTCAAAGAATTAAACTTCCCCACAACCTTCATTATAATGTCCTGCTAAAAGCCCGAAACTATGATGAACAGAGAATGAAATCATTAAATGGTTACTGATAAGATACCTGGCATACGTGCTGTTGAAGTTGATGCTGTCAGACTATCTTGCTCACTAAATGTAAGCCAATCCTAGAAATAAAAATAACAGAAATGCGAATAGAAAACAACATGGAGCAAATATATGAAGTTACAAAGATACAGAAACTGTAAATTCTTTGCTAATATAAAGTTCATTGAATGAATCAATTGCGAATGTTTTGTATATATGCGTAAATCGATGAAGATCATGGAGAAAGATAAAATGAATACAGAAATTCGAATGCAAACGAACCTCAGAACTCAAATACCAACTACGGCACTGCGATCCCTCATTTGCTCTCAGATTTTCACGGAAATGCCAATCCAAATGTCGTTCGTACGCTTCACCTTTCAACTCATTAAACCTCAACCCACAACTAGGGCATAAGTGCTTCGTTTGATGGAGACTCTCGACCACCGAATCATAGCGACTATAACAAAATTTACCATTTCTTCATCATCAGTCTTACTTCTCAACCGAAATATTCAAAAATTATTGCTCTGATCTGGATTGACAACATAGTTTGAGTACTGACCATCCTTTTTAAATACATGCGAAGAAAAACCGAGAAACTGACCGAGACTATTATTTCACTGAAGAAAGACATTACACCCAACTTAACGTCTTGAAATGAAGAAAAAAGCCAAAAAGAGATAAAAAATGAAACAAAAAATTAAAAGAGAATAATTTCAGAAAAATGATACATTTTGAGTGCACGCATAGAAAACTTTTTGAGATCTGTGGGTGGTTTTGGTAGACGTTCGGTAACTTCACCGCGATGTTCAGACGGTATTGGAGGGGTTGGCGACTTGTTGTAATCGCGTTGGGAGGTATTTTTTGTTGAGTTGGACGCCGCTTTGTCGTCTTTCTTTGCATTCAACGCCGACAGTATACCCGATTCTTGTAATTTGGCCAGCAATCCCTTCACGTCCATTGTTGGTTCTTTGGAAGCACCTTAATTTCAATTTCAACCGCTTAATTTCAACCACATCAAGATAATCGCTCTCATTATAGCTGTCCATAAAGCAACCACCAGATCATTACGGCTACAATCATCTTTCATTGCATTCCTTATTAAATACCATTAAAAACTCATGCTCTTATCATTGTTCGAATAGTAATCCAGTAGGTTCTTATTAATACTGAACGCCTCTGCGAAATATAAATGCGAGAACGCACCTGTGGACTGCACACCAGCAGCGTTCGGAGGTCTTGTCACAGAGGCTGGATTAAGTCCTTGTCTTGGCATATGCCTCAACAACTCGTAGCATGGATCCGGTTCGATCTTCACTTCCGGTGGAGGGCCACTGAGTCTGAAAGAACGGTGATACTCTCGAATCATTTATTCGAATAACAGAGCCAATAAAAACTGAACGGCAAATTTCTGTACGCAAGCCAACAATACCGGCTCAGTCAATTACTATATATTTCTTCGATATGATTATTCACGATAAAACTCAACAAAACACAAATCTTATTTCATTTACCTTATTTCATGGCGAACACCGTTAATTGTGGCAAAAATCGGCGGTCCACCGAAGGCACCTTTGAATGGATAGTTTCCCATATAAAGTTCACGAGAGGGTGCACCAAATCTTTAAACATATAAAAGATGAAATACATCGAACGAGCTGACATTTCAAATGAATATAGCATGAACTTGCGGGTGGATAACGCAGAACAAAAGCTCATTTGAAGTTGGATGAAATGAAAAATAAGATTCGAATGAACTCATTATCGTACAGGAACATGAATGCATTGCAGACGAATATGGAATCGACGAGGTGAGAACGTCAAGTGATCGTTCAAAACAAATTATTCAAGGCAGAACAGCTCATGAAATCAGAACAGCAACAAACGATCGATTCAAAAGCAAAACTCACTTGAGAATATGCTCTTCACCGTCAATAACAACCCGTTTCTCCTCACCGAAATTCATCAAATGCGCAACACCATCGATTATCACATTTCGAGGCGCACCCGTAAAATATATCCTGAACAATACAAACGAAATAATGCCATCATTCCACTAAATGTCAAACAACCACTGCTCACCACAGAACATAACTGTTTTCATTAAACTGCAGTGTTCGATATGAATCTCTTCAATTCAACTCTGATAAAAGTAATCTGATGAAAAATCAATTAGAAGTGCATCAACCGAATCGCGATTAAATGAATAACAAAAGGCATTACCTATGAGGTAGTCCATTGCGTTCAATCACCGGAATGTCGTTCACGTAGAACACTTCATAAGCACGTCCATCAACAAAAATACGATTATTCGCCGGAATACCCTCCAGTTTGGTACCCTCCGTGCGAATCACATGCTGAGTGGCAGGCGCGACAACTGGTGGAATTAAGGCACCGGCAGCTGCAGCAGCAATCTGAGGTGGCACAACCATGGGGGGCATGAAACGTGACGCTAGCATCGGGTTCATGCCTGGGAACGGCACCATCGGTATGATCGGCATCGCTATGGCTGGAGGGGCGCTGGTGGCGTTGAATGACGGGGGTATCGTTGCTTGTGCCGAGGAAGAAGTGATTATACTGGAAGTGGTGACATTGGACGTAGAAGAGACGTTGGGATAGTCGATTGACGAGCTCGATGAGGTGGCAGTTGAGGGAGCAGTTAAGGGTGGCGATGAGGAGGGCGCTTGATTGATGCTGTTAATTATTGGAGGGGTGTTGTTGGTGTCGTTGGAGTGTGATGGTGAGTGTTGCATAGACTGCTGCAGGGTGGACGACATGAACGCATGCGATCCCAGATCGTTGGTCGGTTTCAGTGGGGGTTGTTTGGCGGTGGAGGTCGATGGCTGGTAGTGATCACGGCGCTTCTCGTCGGGTGGTGATCGCGTGAACGCCGCACGTCGTCTCTTCTCATCCACCGCATCCTCATCGTTTTCTTGCTTCAGTGGTGGACGACGTTTCTTCGACGATGCACCAGCATCCGATGGCGAACGACCGCCTTTGTCACGCCGTTCCTCATCTCTGCAAACAACACCACTATAGTAATCCACAATCCTTGTCCCACTACTCGCAAAAGATTCCGTTGTTTTTCTCAGAATCACAGTTTCCTCATCCATATGGTGTATAACAGTCATCTTTTTTTTTTCAATGAATCTGTTTTATAACACAACAAATTTCGCATTCAACAACACTACTTGATCTATTTTGCATGAGCAAACAATAAAAATTCATAAACTTGATGACGCTCAATACGTTCAATGTACATATGTCGAAAATTTAAAAAATTGCAGAATAAGAACGCTGATACCTTCGCTGATACCCCTTCATAGATATCTCGGATGAACTTTCGGTCAATCCACGTCTTTCATCAACATCCTCTGCACAGTCCCTGTAGAAGCACGTTCAATAGATCAATTCAACTCAACAAAAGGAATCACTCGTCTAAATGTCTCAATAACACAACTAATGAACAAACCACCGCACACATAAACCAAAGTATATTTCACAACACAATCATTAATATAATACTAATAACAATAATAATAAGCACTGATATCTACATCGTCAATTCAATTCGGTAACGTTTCGCAATATGTAATCAACCATCAAAACCTCACCTCGGTTCATCCTTAACACGCACTAAACTCGAAAACGACGCAGACTTGTTGTTCAGCACTCGACTCTTGGATTCGTTTGCAGTGGTGTTGATGGCATTACCATTACCATTGCTCAGGTTGTTATGAGTGCGTCCGTTCTCGGTCAATCTGGCCAGCCTCGGATCAGCCATAGGCTTTCCCTCCACAACCGTTGTCGACTGAAACGTTAAGAGTTTGATTTGGAGCGCACTTTGTGGCGCTTTTCCATGTTTTCCAGTAAATTGTTTCAGTGGCAGTAAACTATGCACAACAAGTCATCATCATCTGCACTCATCAGCACCTATCGAAAACCGAAACTAACGTCTCGAAACGAGTCATCGCAAACAAAAACAGATCACCGTAAAAGATCTAAACCGAATTTTAAGAATGAAAAGTATATTGCTGCAACAAAATTCGAACATTCATTTAACCCGTCACCAACAATATAATGAAGAAACAATACAAAAATGTTAAAGAAATCAATTTCACAACGAAGAAGAAGTAAAAAATTAACCAAATATACATTTATAAAGTTGACTCCAATCATATATGACACTTGCACGAAGGATTATCATTGCAGTGACTAATCGTCAAATAACTATTTGTGTGTCTACATACATCTATCTGATTGTGAACTGATTTTGTTCTTCTTATTGACCGAGATTAAGCATCCAACTTCATAACCTAACGTATTTCTCCCTATCGTTGTCTTAATTAATCCGTTTACAGGCACCTTTCACTCACACATCGATAATTTGATCAACTCATCTCGGTGTAATATCCACGAAATTTACTGCATCACTCACTAATATATTTCAATAATTAAAATTCTAATGGCAGCGTTTGTGTTCTGATCAGTTTATACGTGTGCGTTGTATGCGAAATCGATGAACAGCTCACGAGCACATGAATTCACATCTCAGCTATTCTCTCTGCGAAGCTTTAGCGTTTACATAGGAATGTGCATGATAATCGCGATCACATTTATCGATTGATTAAAGCACGATGTCTGTTACTGCGACGACCATATGACCAAAATGAGACATTTTGATCGATTTCGATGACGATTTATGATCACTTTATAATGCATTAATTAATTAATGAATCCATATCGATCAAGCAGCTATACCCGTAAACACCGTGTTCAGAGATACAAAGTACAACCCGAAATAAGACATTCACATTTCAAAACAACGCCAATGGATTGATACCGTTCAGCTATAGTGCTGAGTGGGTAAGTGCGAAATGACAACAAATTAACACGGAAAACAATCAGAAATTAACATCAGATCTTATGTCGAGACAGTGAGTCCATAAAATGAATGGAAATGATGAATAAAATAATACAAAACATGATTTCTAGGAGGATCCTTAACTGCACTTTTGCAATTACTCAAACAAATTTGGAATACTTTACACCCGTTGACGTCAGAAAAATACAAACAATCAGAAACAATTGAGAACTACGCGGAATCATACCCTTTGAAATTCATCAACGATGAAATTAATTCACAGCTCAAGTTTTCTCGCCAGATTCAACTCTCAAATTACTACATAAATGACCAGGTGGATGAATCGATGAAAGAATCGAAATGAATGAATGAATGAACAATTGGATGCTATCACATAAATTGACCGAAACAAACGAAATAATCCATTCAGGAAAACCGAAACAATCAGTCGATTTCATTGATGAATGCGAAATATGTTTGCGGAAAGATGATAGTAGTGATAGCACCGTAACGAATGACCGATTGATAATATAAATGATAAAGAACAATAATAAAAATGCATAAATCTACTAAATAAAACAATAAACAATTTCGATAAAACGAATGCGAAACGAAAGTGATTAGTCTTCTCATAATGACAAATGAAATGCAATACCAATTGTCGTTTCTCAGTCACCGATGACGGCTGCGTTACGGTAGTGGTAGTGGCGTGTTTGTTGAAGAAGTGCGGGTTGAGATGCACCGAGCGGGTCAGTTGCTGTTGTTGTTGTTGCTGTTGAGACTGTGTTAAGGTGCTGCTGCTGGTTACTGCCACTGACGCTGAAGACGTAGACGACGACGTTGTGGATGGTGATGCTGATGTGCTACTGCTAGTGGACAGGGGTGTTGCCGTGGCCGGTTGAGGCGTCATGATTGGCCATGCCGGATCGATCTCATTCACGGCCAGATCGATCTTATAGAGTGTCGATCGCTGGAATATACCCGTCCATGTCTGCCGCAGCTTATGCAGTGATAGTCTTGTCTTTTCATCACCCTACAATCGTACTTAAGCATTATTTAAGCAACTCATTACTGCAATGTCTAATTATCTATTTATGACGAGTGTTAACTCATTTGTGAAAGCACGCCCCCCTCAACATCAACTACAATTCATTGATGCTCCAACAAAAAATTTCGAAAATGAACACGTCTAACGTTTAGCATAATGCAACAATCAAACATGAACTCACCGTTTCAAAAACATGTACAAACAACTTGAGTATAAGCTTTTCCATGTGCTCTTTATAATTACCTGCACTTGTGACATTTTTCAATATCGAATCCAAAACATACATCACGGCCAGTTTCTGAGTTGGCAACACCTTAATTTATCAATTATTTTACAGTGCACCTTACCATAAGAACAAAAAACCTTGCTATTAAATATCCTCTCAAGAGTGAGGCAATCAATGGAAAACGTTTACTAACGATGGAAGTTTAATCAAATTCTATACCTTCTCAACCTGATGCGCAATAACATGCACGATTTCCCGTGAAAATGAACTGTAGTCCTCGGCCAGGATCGTCATCAGATTGATTTGCATCTTATTATTATCTTTTAAATCATCCAGAGCTTCTCTGTAACACACACTTGCTAATGGATTTTAATTAAGTACCTCAATGAGATCATTTCAGAAGACGTTATAAACAACAATAATAAGGACACGAATAATAACTCTAATGACAGTGACAGCATTAACAGTGAAACAATGAAACTGAAGAAAATGAACGAACCTGTATTCCATTACCGCCTCTTCAGCGGTTCTCACCATGATTGTAACGAATAAATTAATCAATTAACGAATCACCAAAAATGACTTCAAAGCTGAAATACAACAAAACGCTTAATTGAAAGAAATTTGTGAACTAATTACACGAACGCATACAACGCATTTAACACATAACAACTTCATCACATCCGACAGAGAACATCCACTCTGATGAATTCACCATTTCTAAATGCTATCCGAAATACCTTCCGAGACTCGAGAAGTTTCACATCCAGTAGGAACTACCACATGGAAAGTTTATAATTCAAATGTGATTCATTGCATGAATGAGTTTCGTCAACACACGTATTCAGCTGGTATTCGATGAATTCAGCGATAAAAGGTCGGTCCTATGCATGAATGTAGAAAAAAAGAACTCTTGACTAGGCGTCGCGTCATTGCGCTTCGGCAGTGTAAATGCATCCAAGAAGCCACCAAACCAAGCAAAAACAAATCAAAAATTCTGCAGAGATAAACTTCAACATCACTCAGTGTCCTTTTTAAGGGAAACATAAAAACACGATCGCATCGTGCACTGTTTTGCCTTCTGACTATTCGACGCAAGTGATGCATTCTGACTACGTGTTTCTCGCAAGATATTCGAGATGTGGAGACAGAAAATTCAAAATGAAGACGTGACGTGACGACTTCAAAAAGTAACAACGACTAAGTGCTATTCGAACATCCTTGCTCAACGATTGCACTACAGTGTGTCTAATACGACGTTATTAAGCAGACTGATCTCTGTGCAATCCACAACCACAACCATAGCAGTCCTCTCATTTCAACAATAAACGTAGCACAAATAGCAAGTAGAGCACCACAAAAAAAAACACATGTAAATTTGTCAGTTTATAATGAATTTCCACTCAATTACAATAGTGAGACAAGGGAAGCATTTATTTCAGCCAATTCCAGCAAGAATCTTCCGTTTACCACACATCGCTCAAAGCCTGATCACCAAAGCTAGAGCCACACGGTAAACAAAATAAAGTCAGAGCAGCAGAAAGTCGTCAATTCCCGTTTCATACGCCCGGTACATTTTCCTTCCCACCCAACACGCTCATTTTTGATCACTGACAGTGCAATGCGAAATAATTATCGAACAGAAAAAGTAATCAGAAAGGTGTGTCTATGTCAACGAAATATGAATCGAATGTTTTTGTGCAGATTGAACAATTAATTCAGAATGGAATGCGCTGATATGAACGCATCAATGGAAATATTTTTACATTTCAATCGATAATATAAATAGACTATAGGATTGTTACAACTAAAAAAAAGCCAAGTCTGTTACGTGTTCGCATCATAAGATCGTCGAAAAAAAAATTGAAGTTCAAATGTTTTTAGTATTTCACTGAACGACAACCCAAAGGTATGACCTACGTGCCACGAGGACGACCTACATCGAAGAAAAGAGCGCTCAAGCAATGCAGGAAACACATCTCCTTTTGATATCCCAATGAAAACACAGGAATAATAGATCAATGAACACGGAGACACTTTATCAAGACTGCATTTCAAGATGAAAGTGTGTACGTGGAGAGTCAGTCGGACAAACACTGCTCGCAACAAACAACACGTGATTTGGTGTCATCAGAACACGTCAAATGCCAACCATAACACCACAATTCCGATCAGAAATGTAGGAAAGAATCGAATACACGACAATTGTAATAATGATGAGCAATCGACCCTCTTCGTGCAAGGCTTCATCAAAGAATGACGACGGACTGTTTATAAAAAATCACCAGAAAGCCAAAACTGCTCGCGCAATTCCAAATTTTTGTTCATATATGCAGATTTGTTAGGCGAACATTAAAATTGAATCCATCAATACTATACGCTTTTAGCTTATGGTTAGAGGCCAGAACGCTGAAAATGAGCAAAAATTCTTTTTTTTGGACAAGAGAAGTCTGAGTTCGAAAGAGAAGGCTCTCTCACATCACTTTTCTCTCTGATTCCATGACGAACGTCGCACCTAGCACCCGTCCTATCCGTCTAATAGTTGAAAGATTTTTTCAAAGAGAACAATGTATAGGCATAGAGAACGACAAATTCGAAACAGTGTGAACCGAATACAATGCAACAAAATTGTTATTGATCACAAACAACACGTTAGAACGATTACAAATGCTTTCATTCACCGCAATTCCGAATCAAACGATTCAACACACGAATCGGAATAAAGCAGAAACTATTTTAAATAACTGTATTCATATAAACAAAACTAATATACTGCTCGTACGTGGAAATTAATCGCTGAATGTTTCTGGTTATTATCGGTGATTCACGACTCTAAAATAATTCATAAACATGCCCGAAAACCGCATCTGTTCAAATGTGAAACTCACTTCTCCACACAATGATCCGCAAAACTGGATCCTTTAGCGTGTAGCTAATGCTATGGGGCTCAACAGTTTGTCTTACAATTAATATAATTCCATCATTCAGTCAAAAATTCCACGTAAGTTTTCATTTGATTCAATTCAAATTTCATCCAAATTTCCTGTTTTTTTTAAATAGAGTGAAACGAAAAACGGCCCAAACAACACCATGACATCAGCCAAACAAGCCACTCTTCAATTCTAGAAAGTAGCTAAGACTGAACGATGAGGATCCAACGCTGGAAACAACACACCAAGGTCGTAACAAAGCCAACACATCAACCCAAGACTGAAGCATTCCGTGAAGTTGGATACGTTGCGCCTTTCTCTCTAACACCATTTCGCCCAAACTTCTCAAGTAATCGTTCCGGTGACGACAAACAATACAGTAACGCCGACGATCACAACCGAAGAACTTCATAGCATTAATATAATAAAATATACACAAACAATACTTGATAGAAGATGTAACATTAGATGCGGTCAACTGTAAATTGTTCAAACGATTCTCAAAATTTAACAATACGAACCTATGAAAAACATCAATCCAAAAAAAATTATTGAAGTAAATCAAATACAGGAACAGAGCAATGACATTCAGCTGTCGTACATATAAATGCACACATCCCAGACACAATATTAATAATGATAACAAAACCGATATACATCTCATAACATTATTCATATTTCGTGATTGCCATATCGCGACTTCTCTTTTTCAAGTGTCATTCAGAACGATTACGATGACCAAATATACATGACGAGTGGGTCTTCAACCTGTCAGAAACGGGTTCATGTGTCAGAATTTAGTTCAACAGATAACACCAATTCATCGATCTGTCTCACTTAAACACCTATTAACTGCTCGCAAAACCGAAACCTCGAAGACAATGACACAACAAGTTCTCATGCGACGACGACCTTTGCAACAGAATGCAATCCACACTTCATGAATCTTCAACTGCACAGTTGAATAGAAACAATATACATAGGAGCCTTTGGCTTGCACATATCTCTACTCTTACAACTTGAAACCTTCTCATTCAATACTCCAGTCAATAAAGTAGTGCCAACAAAAAACACTCGTATTCGTCAGAATCTTTTCTACCTTACACCACACATCTTGCTTAAGTCAAGAGCCTTGGTATTTTCCAGTTTGTAGTTTTTTTGCTGATTTGTGACAATTTTTTTCTCAGTTCTGTGATGAATTCACATAACTAAAACCTGTTGAAGAATCGTTAGCCATTTTATCTTGCTTTGTAGGTGTGGTGAAGGAATGGGAGCAATGTGCGAGTGCACTGCGAAACCATCAGTGTTTAGGATGCTTTTAGAATACTTATCATAAAATCTGATTCTTTTTAACACAATTGTGAATTAGGTTTTCATTATGAAATATAAACCACTTCAGTTACGTCACCGTTCATTTAAGCATGACATTAGGTGTTTGATGAGCCACCATTATGACCGATTTTCGGTTCAGATAACAAATTTGTAATCACCTCTATATTGCCACCAATGAATCATTGTTTTAATACTCTCGTGAAGGTGTGAACAATTATATCAGCATCTTTAGGGGACATTATTTGCGAGTCTGTTCTAAGAAAAAGGAAAACGATTCAAATATGAACAATGCAGGCACCAGTTCCTTTCAGCCCTTCAATAATCGTCACAATAAGATTGATCATCCGAATTTGTGGAAATCACTATTCAACAACTCCCTGAGGATACAAAGCTGTCTTTCAATTGAACCAATGCAATCGAGAACGCAACTTTTTCAAGTGTTTTATTACCTTAGCAGGAAATTAATACCAAACGAGGAAGTTAGATTTTCAGAGGCGTTTTCAGCTGTGGCAAAATTCAATTCTAGTGGCAAAATACACTGACATATGAATTTTGAAGGAAACATTTTCATGGAAAATATATCTTGTCAAAGTCAAAACTCAAAAAGTATATCTTGAAGCTATATTTACACCATCAAAACGCACAGTAAAGTCTGTCATGAACATTAGCGAGGTGTAAACAATTATATAACATAACAATTATACTGTGATATGTAATAATTGTTAATAGTGTAGTTCGCTGGAGTTACAAACTGTTGTAATGAATGAAATGACTCATTCTGGGATAAATTGGCACTGAATTTGAACGTTGAAGTAGGATAACTTCTACAAAATTAGAAATGTTTTCAGTAAATAATCATTTAGATAAAGGAATATCAAAAACTGATCTGTTGCCGAAATGATAGAAATTACAAAAATTTTATTTTGAATAGCAAGAAAAAAACAATTAACGGATCGCGAATGTCGTCACACTGAGAAGAATTTTTGGTCGACCGTCTTGTCGTTGGCAGTTCGAATCGTGGTTGTCGATGTCGTTGGCTGGCAGTTCTGGGTCTCCAGACCACGACAACATCACTCAGATGGCACCACGAATTCGAAAATCCACCGAATTCGTACCGCTTCAACCCTGGATAGTGAAAAAACACAACGCACAGCACACTCTCAACACAGAAAACACCCAATCGTACGCATAACAAATGAACAAACGAAATTGACACGCCGCGCTTATAACGCGATGACGCATTCGCTTTCGATCGATACTTTGATCTGCAGGTCA